AAAGCGTGGAATCTTCTCTACTCTCAAGGTGCATGCAACCTCAAGGCTTATGCTCAGGGTTTCTATGGTTTAGGGTTTAGGGCTTCGGGTTTGGGGCTTAGAGTTTATGGAAAATAGGGTTTAGGGCTGAGAGTTTAGGGTTTCGAGCTAAAGGCTTCGGGTTCAGGGTTTAGGGCCTAGGGTTTAGGGCTCAGGGCACCACCTCCTTCACTACGAAGAGTTTAGGATTCAGGGCAATTCAGGGTTTACCACATGTCTGATCGTATGATCACTTCCCTCTGATGCTACCAACCCCCTAAGTAATATTGAGGGCGTTCTTGCGATTTGCGCTCTCGTATAAGAGTCTTAGACGGGTGGAGGGCCTCACTATTTGAACATGGAGATTAGTTCTGTCTGAAACAATTCGCCCCTGCTACCGAGAAACTATGGGTCTCGGCTTGCGTGCTTTGCAGTTTATACTGGGTACGAGCTCACGATGTACGAGAAGGTGATAATCCCCACAATCCCTGTAGTTTCCGTTTGCTTTTCCATTGTCCCAATATAACCCCTATACATATAACCCCATATAATCCTCCAAGGATAAGGCTTCAGGGCTTAGGGTCTAACTCAAATCGTCGTCAACCCCATCACAGACTGGCAAGCATACCTCCTTAAGATCCGCGGGGGCCGGGATATCAGAGTCAGAGCATTTTTCAGTAGGTTGGTAAATACTGCTTTTCAAGGGAGAACCATGATTGTAGAAGAGGAATCTTGGACAATAGTGTTGGCACTAATTTTAGCCCCTCTAGTAGGAGTGCGAGAATCAAACAATACACTGCTTTTGAAGCAATCGTATCCGCAAACCCCAACACCCTCCCAAAGCCTTTCACCCCCGAAACACCGCTTCCACCTCTGAGCGCGACCACCCGAAACTCAGAAGACTCTAAAGACAACCCAAACTCTGAGGGTCCAAGTACCCAATATTTAGGTACTTGGGTTTGGGGTAATAATAGTTATAGTATAGGTTTTGGGTAAGTATACGATTATTAGGTACTTGGACACTTAGGGAAAACCCGTTCCCTTCATTATTACCCCCCACCCTCGCAAATAACCAAAATCCCATAAATATACAACGGTACTAAATGATGACAATCAAGATCCCCCAATATAATACCAGTTTTGTTCCCTCTAAAGCTGAGCTGTCAATTTAAAGCGCACCCTCATGCGGTCCACGTCGAACATCTCATGGCCTAAGTTCATGAATGCACTGTAGGTGTTTTGGCTTCAGTCGCTTCTGGGAGTAAGGTTTACCGTAAACCCTAAATCAAGCATGAGCCTAACAACCATAAGACTGTGCGAGCCCTACATGCACTCTCATCAAAGGACACCGTGCAGTGGCATGCAGCCACCGCAGAAAGCAATAGACCAGTTCTGTAGCGTGTGTACTCTTACTTTTGCAGGATTACATCTCCATGATCTTCAGAAAGCTATGTCATGCCATATACTTCACAAAGCACTTGCAACAAACATGACGAGAATGTTATAGTCTGTCCACCAACAATGACTGGGCCTCGCGATGCAGTCACACCTTGAACCATTCCTCCTTTCCTTGTGCTAGTTTGGAAAACAACAAAAAATCACGTAGCCAAAGCTGTACAAGCCGTAGACTTGACACCCTAAGGTCGCAATACCCTTTGCCCTGATCTCGATCTCAAACCCCCAACCCAATTCAACTCCTAACCCTTGCATCCCAGACCCCAAATACAAACTCCAAGACCCCATAGAGAGGGCTCGCTCAAGATAGCACTTGTAGGTTCACAGGGTATAGTCCCCCTTAACTAGATAGAATATGGGGTAGATAGGGGACTATATATAGTCAGAGAGTTGGGGATCTAACTCCCCAACCTAGCTTCTGAAAGCGGGCATGCTAATTCTACCCCACTTGTAACCACCCATGCCTCTATACGTTGTGCACAGTACGGAATTCAGGAATGAATCCTCGGCATACACAGTCTTTGATTACAGTCGTAACCTGTTCCCCCATCCATGCTACCTCCTGCTTCAGGGGAAGTGCGCGAACGGGTAAACTGAGTACATGTACTACAATGGAGGTATGTATGGAGAATATGCCCTAAACCCTACATCCTAAACCCTGAACTGGATCCCTTAGGCTCTGAGGACTCATAATACAAGGGTTTTGGGCCCAATTTGGGCCATTTTGAGCCTCAGGGGATAGCTATACGGATTCACTCCGGCCCCTAAACCCTAAACCCTAAACCGCGTGGCTCTTAAGCTACTGCCAGGCTCCGCACTAGGGAGACCTTCAAGAAACAACCTTGACCCTACTGAAGCCTTATGCCCTAAAGCCCTGCATGTTACAGCGACTCTACAGACCTTAAAACCCCAGCACCTCAAAAACCGACCTAACGATACCAAAGTCTTAGATCCTAAACCCTAACCCTAAATTGTTGTTTCCATTTTCTTTTCCATTATCCCACTATATCCCCAGTAGAGCCCTAATATTACCCCAGTGGGGTTGTTTCAGCAGCCGAGCAGCCCAGAGGGCCCAGCAGATTGAACGTCATGGCAGTTTCGCGGATCTTGGGGGTACACGATTTCCAGCATAAAAAGCGTCTTTCGTATGTCCCTTTTTGCATTGTGGGATTTAGGGCTTGGTACTTCAGTGTCCGGTGCAACTTCGGGTTGTGGCATTGACATTTCCCAGCAATAAGCCGAGCTGTCCCGGGTGAATTGTAAACGCCAAGCAACAAAGCCCCCGACAGCAGCATGTCGAAGCAACCTAAGCCCTTAACGCTCAAATCGGTGAAGCCTCGTAATAATGTTGATATTCATAACCCCGCATGACCGAAGTAATAGCTGGTGAAGGACTTGCAAGAATCCCGTCCTGAGATATGAAACATGCTTTTCCACTTGTTTTGCCGTTTGAAATCCTGAGATCTGAACCTCAAGCTTAGAACCCTAAACTCTAAACCCTGCTGCGAAGCTGGGATTAAGGCTTAGGACACTTGAGGCGCCGAAAAATGACACTTAATTGATGGAAAGCCTAGACCACAAACAGTTTTTGCTCTTTGAATAGTAGCAATACCCGTATATAAGGAAAGTCTAAATGAAATAGTTGGTTGTCTTTGGCCAAAACCTGTCTGGCGGACCATTTGACAGCTTCATGGACTCTACTGTATAATCATGACCTCAAGCCCTGAAACCCAAAATCAAATCCCTGAAAGACTTGAACTCTGAAGGCTGGACTCGAGCTCTTTGTTCAAGACGCACTTGCGTCTGGATACGCTCCCAGAAAACGGCCCCATGCCGTGCTCTGCTTAGCAGAGCCCTGGATCGAGTAAAACTCTTGTCGTGGTCTTTCTTCAGGTGCGCCAAGAAAAGCCACCGCGTTCCTTCAATACACAACATGAAGTTAACAAACGCTCTAGCCTGCGCACACAAAGGCTGGCACGGGAAACCCCACAACAATATGCTCCATGGACTTCTCTACGCATGCCTGGCACCGTTGAACCAGGCAGAATCGAGGTGCGATGGCTTTTGCCTCGTGCCCTGAAAGATATGACACTGCTTTCATTATTCACCGAACACAATGTTTTGCACAAGTCCCTTGCATATTCTTACTGGAAAATATGATGACAAATCACGGCCACAAGGAGTAAAGCTAACTTGCGCGCCTTCGGCGCTTCATTTCTGCAACGTACTTCTGCAGCTGCTCTCGGTAAGCTGGCATCCTGTCCTGCGCATTCATACACAGCGGTTGGAGTTTTCCTATGGAAACCATGCTGCATTAATCATAGAACTAGCCGTCTTGCTATTCGATAACTGTGTTCCTCACATGGTAGTTGTTCAAAATACCTGTCCCATTTTGTAGGTTCCCTGTTTGGTTAGGGTCCCCCCTCAAGGAAGTGTATTCCCAAAGGTCCCTTCCTTACAAGGACCTTTAGAACAACCCCCACATGGCACGTTGTCCTGCATGTACAACATGGCTGCGCGGCTCTTCAAGGCTTGGAATCTGCTGTGGATAGCTTTCATCAAGTCCGGCTTCACCTTAGCTCTGGATCGCAGGGTTTGTTGGTGGTTAAACCCAGTAAGATAACATTCGTAAAAAAATACTATATCCCAAAAGGAGGATATAATATTACTCTATACTGGGTACCATAGTATCCCCAAGTAGAATACTACTCATCTGATATTATCGCGTCAATAGGCACTGCTCACACACTTTCGCCAAGGTTTGTATGTGCAAGCTAGCACATTGTGTTCGCATGTGTTCGCTGCAGATGATTATTGCGGGGATAGGCTTGCGCAGGCATACTTGTGGCCTTCAGGACACAAAATAAGCGTTGAATTCTGCCGGGTAGTCGCATAATGAAAAGTGATGGGCAAAGGCTCTCTTGCCATGATCGCGTTGGCATAGCCATCCCTCAGCTCCTGATCATTATCAAGCTTCCAGCCATAGAGCCCGTCGAGCTGCTCAAGATGGACCCCGTTGCGCGTTAGAACGCCTGAGGGTCATAAACGGACACGACACTGTTAAGATATCTTGGTTGGCCTTTGGAAACCTTTGAAAAATATTAGTATGTAGTCTCCTTATGAAAACCATTAGGGAAAATGTTTAAGTATCCCAAACGCCAACCCAGATATCTAATAATCAAAGAAATTACAGGACTTTCGGACATTCCGATGTAAAACGCTACAGCAATAACTGCGAATTCTTTTTGTGGAAACGCGAATGCATCGACCTGCTGTCTCAGGCTATTTTGAGCGTGAGCCGTCAGCATTGTAAGGGGAGCCTCGTTTGCCACTTGTTAGAGGAGCCGTCTAATACATATTTACATTTGTGTTCCTGCTTCAAAGTCGTGACTGCCTGCTCCGATACCTGACTGGCACATCTGCCAGCTCAACAATAAACTGCGATGAAATCTGTGCCTGCGTTCTCTCCCCAAATGTGTGACCCTGAATTGGCATCCTCAGCCTGGTACCCAATGAAGCCCAGATGCCTGAAACACTCAGATCGCCCCAGACCGAGCCGTCTGCACCACTGACCAAGTTGCCCATCAAGTCTGCCTGAAAGGCTTCGCCGGACCTGTCAACATGCTTACGAGTGCCAAACCTCATTTCATAGTAGTTTCCATTCTATTTTCCATTATCCCAATTCTACCCCCAATGTAACCCCAACATATTATGGTAGTTTCCATGTTATTTTCTATACTAATCTCATTTCTAATGTTGGAGCCTTGTTAGCCCTTAGTCTAGTGGTCCTTACTTACATGTGTACTCTACACCATTGAAAAAGTCTACGAACCCGATGGAGGACGCATGGTGAGGACCCAGGAAACAGCTGAAGGCCCCTATTAGGGGCCCATTGTTGGGACTTTTGATCAGCAACTTGTTCCAGAAGCTTCTGCGGTCGCCCACAAGCCGCAAACCCCACAGCCTGATATAAAGCATCAAACTCTTAAAGCGACAAGAAGGCTGGTGGCCTTGCCATGATTTTGCGCAAGCTGGCTTGGCTGACGATGTAACCTGCCCCACCACAAAAGCCTCCCGCATCCTCTACACCACAGTTGGGAATGCCAAGCGCGATCAGGTCAGAGGGGTCGCGAGCTAACAACGCCTGCCTGGCGTTGTCAATGTTTACATACACGTCATCATCCAGCACGAAAAACCACGAATACTCTTCGAGCTGCTTTGCTGCTTCCTGCAAGGCGTAGCCTATCCTGCAGCAAAGCGCCTTGCCATGATCATCTCCGCACATGCTGACGCCCATGATGGGTGGCTCATGATCGGGCCTTGCCTCGTCTCCAACGATAAGCAGACCGTCCGCCCGCACTTCACGAACGTCGCCACCCCACGTGTTCATGATTGCATCAACCTGCGTTTCATAATTGCTGCTATGTGATAGCACCACGAATAAGATACCGGCATTGTCCTTGCGTCCTTGCCAACCTTGGCCTGTTCCAACTTCTGACTGCTTGTCAGCAAAAAAGCTCCTCTCGCTGGTACGCTTGTAAAATGCAGGATGCATCATCTTCTCCTACAACCGGCGAGAAAGCCCACGCAAGGCAAACTGAAAGCCATGCAAGCATTCGCCAAAGCTACTGTGGTTCGGTATCGTTTCTGCAAGCAAAAGCCCTAGAGCCTGGAAGACAAAAGCGGTTGGTGCAAGTCAGTCATACGCCAGGCAGCATGTGGACGGGTAAGGGCTGACCAACCATGTCACGCCAGACAACCGGAGTCTGCACAAGTCTAGTGATTTCGCAGTGGCCACACAACGAACAAAAAGCCCGATCTAGGTTCGGTGATCCACTCATATCTAGACTTCTCGACTCTTCTTACAAATGCATCGGTAATGGGTTGCCAGGTCCCCGGATGAAGGAGTGAGTAGGAATCCATTGAAGAACCCGCGTGAAGCTGTCTGAAACCCCAAAGCAAGCACTTCTTTCTCGGAGCTATCGTAGCCGTGAAGTGAGCTGGCGGTGCACTTTGTGCCCACCATTCTTGCAAGAGCAGGAAGACAAACCCTTGCTCCATCAACAGGGCTCCTACGTAGCTCCTTTTTGGGAAGTATCGTTTTTGGACGAAGCACTTCCAGGAATTACCCGAAGGGATTACGCCCAAGGCCCCTTCACATAGCGGCTGAAGGAAAAAAGAATGGAGGCATTCACCCCTATATCATGTCCAACAATGCGGTTGCATTACTTGTCTTTTCCCTTCCTTCGTGCCCTATTTACAGCCAGCAACTTAAGCCCAGAGCCTATCCCTCCCTACAACCGAGTGAGACGTCAGCGCAGGTGAAGCTGAACGATGGACAGGACAGCAGAACTTAGACATAAGCTTTACTCCGAAGCGCAGTTTTACTGGGTTGCTGTTAAGGAACCCGTATTAAGTTACCTCTATAAAGAGACCCTATTATTAGGTGTATATACCCATATGATGGCAACATACGTAAGATTCCTTAACAGCAACCCAGCTCATCTAGGTTCATGTCCAGGAAGCACTAAGCGTGCGACCAAGAGTGGAGATTATGTGTAGACTGCAAGCGTGTGATGGGGTTTGGCTTACGGAAATTCAAATTCTCTATAAGCCCTAAACCATAATCCCTCAACCGGATTCTGGCGACCCCAACCGCCCAAATTGGAACGTGCCCTGGAAGTATTATAGGGCTGCTACAGGGTCCTACTCTTGCGGGTAAGGGAAAACAACATCTCCTCACTACAAACAGTATAGATGTGCATATATACATGTGTATTTATATATATATATAGTACCCTGTATAACCCCATTCCATGCTCCATGTTCTTTTCCAGTTGATTATCCATGTGCCCCTGAAGCCTAAAAATCCGAGCTGCTCGAAGCTCACATGCCCGCCACCGACTAGGAAGACCAGAACCCTAAACCCTAACCCTCTTATACTGGTTGCTAGTAGGGTAGGGCATGGGAAAGACATGTAGCTATATGTTATATGCTATATTTATATACTGGGGCCTCAAAGTAGATATGTGGGAACCTCTTTGGGCCCTAAGTCAGGCCTTAAGTATACACCATGGACTATTATTTGGGAATGGGAGCAAGCATGTAGGATACCTCTAAAAATAAGGAGATCCACAAGCTCCCTATTAAAAGGGAACCTTATCATCAGAACAGACTCTAGACAGCCTTGCTGGAGGGCCGCGAAATTTGACACCTGGCTTTTGGTAGTATCTGCAGAGGCGCGAAGTAGGCTACTTTGTGCTGTAGTTGAATGCAGGCTCTACGCCTCTTGCCTAACTCGCCACTAGTTTCCATATAGAATCACCTAGCACAATCGCCCTTGACCTGGTGGCATGCAAAGCCATGCTATATCGAAGTCTTTCTCGAGAGGTCCCGTGCTTGTAAAGCGCAGAAGAAGCAGACTCTTGTAGAAGGATGCCTAAGCACAAACCCGGGAGATTCTGATAAAGCTCATCCGAATTGGACTTAGGAGTCATAGTCTAGTCTCAACCCAGCCAAGTCCTCAGCCCTGCCTACTCCCTCTCTTGTCCCATCCCAGTCTCTGGGGCGTATAGCCGCAATGGAACTCTTTTACAAAGACCTTCTGATTCCTCTTCATGGGCTTCAACATATAGGATTTGCGATGTTTTTTTCGGCTTACCACCCTCATATTAGGCAGCTGACATATTTGACGCATCTAGAAATCTAGAAGATGTTGGCGGCCGATGCTCTCACTTCACCTGCGGGTTCATTAGCGCTGCTGCCAGCTACGGCCCGCCGTTGGTGTGATGATGGTGGGTCCCGTGATGCCTCGTCAGGGAGCTGGTGTGGGGATATCGGGGTTGTATAGGGATAATGGAAAGGAACATGGAAACTACTATAGTACAATAGGGTATATAGGGTATAAATCGGGGTTATATAGGGATAACGGAAAATGAAAACTACTGTAGTATATTACATTGGGTTTAGGGCTTGGGGGCTACAGCATCGTTAAAGGTTCAATTAGGATATTGATAATCGAGGTGCCTTCCTAAATGCTAGACCTTCAACATTGGATGTCCGAATTAATGGAAGCTGACAAGAGTGGCTTCCTTAGCGGCACCCATTTTACCTGTGGGATGATTCCTGCGCCTCCCGAGGAAAACAGTGTGCTCTTTTAAATTCTTAATGTCAAGTCGCTATATGGATGCTGTTCTACATGCGTCAGGGTTTCCTTGCCCCCACCCTTTGCGCCATCTTGACCGGGTGGGCATCCACATACAATTTCAAATAGTCTATACATGTATATATGCAGTGTCAACATGCACAAGGAGCCATCTGATCTTGCACCCGCCCTTGTGCGGGCTTGCGCGCGCTGCCCCGTGTAGTCTTGCCACTATAGGCGGGGGCCTAGAACTGAATGCATATGAGCTAAAATTTAAACTCCTAGTATCCCCCTACTAACCCCTGTAGTAGTCCGCTTTTTCATCTCCCATCTTTCCCCCTTAAAGGAGTTTAGACTATGGCTCATATGGCAAACCTAGGACAACCCTGGAGCTCAGACCCTAAACAGTTGGCAGGCTAAAAGGACCTACGCAGCCGGCAGCAACATGAGGGTGCGGTGAATATTATAGTGGGGCCAAGGACCCAAATAATAGGGCTTTCGGTCCCAAATACCATTATCATTATCGCATTTGGGTCCTAGAACCCTATTATTTGGGTCCTCCGACCCTTAGGGATTGTAGTGGGGTCAATGAACCCTAAACTCCATGAACTTGAGGAATCTGTTCGAGGTCCGTCAGGGCTTGTGGATACATCGTACTGCGCCTGCGTGACAGGCAACTTGCAACTAGAAAGGACAATGCAAGCAGGTAGGAGGTCTGGTCAAAAATGAGAGGCCCACAAACCATCCAGAATCCAGCCCGCGACGCTTGTCCCGTCGCTCATCTGATTTGCGGTGTCTTGCAGCTTGTGTCCAGGAGGGGCAAGTCAATGTACAGAGAAAGAGAGAGCGAGAGAGAG